CTGGCACTACTATTGCAGGACCAGGATCGAGGTTAAGTCAGTGTCCAAACTGAGTTCACGCTACTTCTCTGGATAGATTTTATAATTTAATTTTATTTTTTTAAAACATAGACTCACTTCCAAATCATGTTCCCTGGGTAGCCCTGGAAATGGTTGGGCTACACAACGGGTATAGGAGCAGAGGAACTGTGGAGGAGCTGCTGTAACAGCACCATCCCCAAAGAAACGTTCAGACTAGAGCCTGCCTAGTCAAGGGGTAGGCTTGATGCTGCTCAAACGAAGGCTTGTGTCACCTGCTGACAGAGCCAAATACCCCTTTGGTGGACCAGGTGTCATCATATAGGTTTAAGTCCAAGAGTAGTCAAGGGGCTAAGGAGCTATGGCTACTCCTGTTCCTTTGGTGATGCGGGCTGTGGTTTCCACAGCAGCTTAAACCAGAGGCAGTGCAATCCAATTTCCCTCTTCCCTCCTTTACGCCAGCACTGTGGCTGATTTGATCCTACAGTGAGCCGATTCAGGTCACTCATCCAACAGACAACTGAACCGAACAAAACAATGCATTCCATCAGTTTGGTAAACAGAACGGCTCATTACAAGCGTACATGAGCACCCGCGCTGGCTGAAGGGAGAGGGCGCACATAGCCAGGATCAAAACAGGGAGGAGGACGAGCGTACCTGCAAACATCACAGCAACATCAGATGTCACCCAGAGGAATTCCCATTCCTGACCCTGCAATCCCAGTCCATGCACATGCGTGCCGTGTTTCTCCATCCACAACTCCCAAGTTTGACTCTCTAACTTGAGAGAGGGTTGCTTTCTAGTCTAAGGAATCCCGTAACGGACTAAATACCTTATGTTTGCAACTCTATATGCCAGCGGGTGTCACAAGAGGCAGTTTTCTGGGAGAGAAAACAAACAGATAGAATTTGCTGGCAAAAAAAATCACAGCTTGGCTTGTACGTCCTAATCTGCACTGCACACTATGCCGCTGAAGCCTTAGCTAGGAAACTACTCCAGAGGTGTGCGGTTCAACGTATATTACATCAGCTAAGCCACAACAAGCTGCACAGCAAGGTCGTGCAGTGCATCTGCAGCGCTGGGAAGCTCAGCTATGGCTGATGGGTTCTAAAAATGACTAGAGAAAAATACTAACCCAAAAAATGGAAGCACACACTTCTTCGTAGGTGACTCAATTCTGCCAAACACAGTTAGCTGGATTTTGACGTAGTGATATGCTGGGTCCATTTATTCACTGAGTTCACATTCAAGTACATTACAGTTTCCATATTTAACACTATAGCACAGAATTTTCATAGATGATGGTGACACAGGTAAGACTACTACTAGAGGAAAGATTACTGTGCTAAGAAAAGCTTGGTGAACAGCAGCAAATACTGCTGTTAACTAAGGTTTTTCACAGTCATTTAAGAAATGCAAGTTTATCTGTACAGACATAGTACAAAGGACAGGAGAAAGTGTTGTTTTGTTTTTTTTTTTTAAATGTGAGAAACATGATAAACAAACAAAGTCCAGACACTATTTTAAGCAGCTTTGCATAAGCATGTGATGATCCTTGTTTTAGGGCGTGAGAGATTTAAGTTCACTGTTCCAACGGATCCTGAACTACAGGATGTCTTGCATGGTTTCCAAATAGTTTAGGTTACAGCAAAACAAGAGGACAGAACAAATTGTTACTAGCAAGAACTGGCTGGAACAAGCTATGACAATTTAAGAACTTCCCATCTGAAAAAAAAAATCACTGATTACAAAATAAAAAGCAACACCCCTACTGTTATTACCCTGGTAGTATAGTTGTTTTTTTTTTCCTAGAAGAAAACATGAATACTGTCACAGACACGCTTCACAAAACTTGATCCCACGAGCCAACAAGGCTGCTGTTTTGCAGAACTCAAAATAGCAGGCTTTGCTTCTATGTCAGGGGAAAAAAAAATAATGGGAAAGTTTGTTTTTTTTTTCTTCAGATGCCAGCAAGCTACAGATCTAGTTCTTTCATCTTACTTCCAACAATGTACACTGAACCAAAATATTTCTTATTTGGTACATGTGGACATTGGCTTAATGAGAAACAGGACAGGGAAGGGAAAGAAGAATGCAGCGTATTATTCCATGTCATTAAAATTCCTGGAATGTATCTACATGTACTCCCCATCGCTCCACCTGAACTCCCCATCTACCTCTCTGTGCTTAGACTGTCATCACTGGAGGCTTTGCAGTGAAAAGGTATGGTCTAACATTGTGCATTACAAGTTGATTCAGTAGGCACATGTTGCACTTAAGCAGTAGCTGAAATCCTAGAGAGGTTTGTTACTGCCTGCCTTAACATCTCTGGTTTCCAGGATGAAGACACAGAGAGCTCCTGGTGACCCACAGACTATTTATGTTAAGATTCTCTATTGAGCTATTTTTGTCTGCAATACATGCCGTTACTGCTTCTGGGGCCCCCTTGGGGATTGGGGGGAGTTGTTCATAAGAAATCCAGATGCTTTTCACGGAGTCCAATAAATACTGATTTACCTAAGCTGACTGCATGTACTTGGCATTTGCATCCTTTCACTCTACACTACTAATAAAGAGCACTGGGAATGTAACACATTTACACAGTTACAAGGCTGTGTAGAGCCAGTCTGAGTTTAGTACAGCTAACACTGATCTGGGTCTAGTATGCGAGTAAGACTTGATCCTATTCCTGCTTAACTACATTCACACTCTAACTGCATCTACCAGAGTTTTCAGCTCTGGCACAACAAACCACAAATACATGGAGGGAGCCCAAGTCTGCTATCGCTCTCGATAAGCTCTACCCAAACCAGAAGCGTTAGGATCATGTCACGCACTCTGGTTTCTCTGCAAGGGCCAGGTTTGGAACAGCAGGCGATAGCAGGCACAGTTCAACACCAGCCACGGCTGACGCAGTTTGGTGGCAGGTGCTATCTGCTCGGGGTGTGAGGAATATGATCATGCCTATGTGTAATACATGGGGCTTTCCCATTAGGTCAGGTATCCCCATCTGCGTAGCTGCCTTATCTTAAACAACAAAAACCTTTGAGTGAAAAAGAAAAAAACCCATCATCAGTATGAAAAGAGAACCACAAATTTTCACTACGGGACAAAATACTAGCAAAAATGGCATTTCAGTTGCTGCAATTTTAACTTTGCTTATTTAAAAAAAAATGCAACATTCCCCGTTAATGTATTGTAGACAGCTTATTTCATCATCTCTGAACACAAGATGGGATGTTCTGCATTGCAAAAGCATAAGGTATGAACAACGACCCATTGCTCTCAGAACCCTACCTGAGTTATACAATCACATACAAGCTCCAAAATTAAGAATTAAAGGTGTTGCAGGGAGTTTTAATACTAAATACTATGCAAATGTGCTCTAGTCATATGGTTCCCCAATTGTCATCTTCCTTTTAATTTGTTTTGTTCAAGAAGTCATTAGTGAAGTTTTATATACATAATTAAAGCTGATCAAGAACAAAGTGGATTGTATTTCATGGCAGAGTAGATGATGCCTGAAGTCTACTCAAATTCCAGGTTCTTATACAACTGGAGTATTAGGAAAAAAGGTCCTAGGATGTTTCAGAAACTCAGCTGTCACTTGGAACGACACAGACCTTTCCAACGTGCCATTAGTATTTGTTCTGCCAATTGTTGCACAAAACCACACAGAATTCTCTGATAACCAACCCAAAACCAGAAGCAAGGGTGGCTTCACCTTATCATCTATACTACACTATCTGACATGAGGGAAGCTGAAATTTGGAGGCATTAATGCAAATTCAGGAAGCTTTGTAAAATCAACAATTCACAGTACATTTGAATCTCCCCAACTCAGTTATCATGTAAGGTTAGCATCATCTTTTATTAAAACCACCAAACACAGAATTCCATCTCCTTTACTACAATGAACTTGAAAAATACACGTTCAAGGGGCTTTAACTGTAAAGCAAAAAGAAAAAAATTAAGCAATCCCAGTTTCTGAAGACTTATGAGGCCTTCCCCAAATGTCTCAAAAAAAAAATCAAAGAAAATTTTGGAGTAATTAAAGCCAATATAGGAATAGCACAGCAGAGGAATGAAGGTCCTGCTAAGGACCTTAACCATGCTAAGTCCTATTAGCTTGGCATTCTTCCAAGAAGACTCTCATGTCTAGCCAACAGCTAGAAACGCCTGGTAATGTTCCCTTTCTCCTCAGTGTCTCCTCCCTCACAACTTCCTCATCTCCCTTTTTGCTGCTGAGGCTGAAACATCTTCAACTGCAGCAAAATAAAAATGCTTTTTTTTCTCCACCTTCACTCAAGTTTTTGCAGTCTTCTCTTTTCTCCTAACCCAGAACCTTTGAAGGAGCAAGGGGAATTGCTTCCCAGAGACATTCTTGTTGATGGACTTTGTCTATGGGCCCCACCCAGCCCCAACATTGTTTCTGGTACTGCCCAAAGCCTCAAAACCAGGTAGGTGACAAACAGCCAAAATACCAAAGTACACTGCATACAGAATCCCTTCCCCTCAATAAATGCTAGCGTCAGACCTGTTTAATTTTAGCAGATGTCCATTAATTCACTACCTGCACCCCAAATAAATCAGTCTAAAGGAATGCACTGGGAATTGCAGCTCAAGTTTTTTCCTTCAACTTTTGTCCTAGATCCTCATACAAACCTCAGCAAATATTAAGATCTTCTTAATTTCCCCCGCAGTTAAACCAGTAATAAGCCTTTCAACATCAGGGCAAGAAGAGAACACGTGTAAATGTAAGAATTACCTCAAGACACACACGCCACATCATCTGACAGAAAACTTTACACTAGGAGCCAAATAGCTCAGATGAAAAATACAGCGCAGAGTATAAAATTTCTCTTAAAATACAACTGAAAGGCAAGCAATCATCACAGAAACATGCAAAGTCACCAAGCATTTTGATGAGAATTTCATAGAACCAAAAGTTTAAAAAATTACATTAAAAGGAGACAGCAACTATTTCAAAAACCTCTGTTTTATTTGTACGGAGTAAAGTACATCATATAGTGAACATCGGTTTCCACCCATAACCTAAAGCCGTTAATAAGTGTTTTCTTTTCGCCAAATATCCTGGCTAGAAGCACTGACAATGGAAATGGAAACGCTAATTAGTCTCTCTCTGCCAGAGCTACAAGATGCACATCAATCTCTGCTTCTGTAAGGATCCTGAAAGAACAAAAAGAAATCTTAAATAGCTTAAATGATTCTTCCCCTTAAGCTCCAATATTACAACCTAATATCTACACAAATAAGTTTTATATAATACATTTTTCAGTCCTTTAAAGCCCTGCTGCCAGGGCCAGAGGCCAACATTCCAATTCTTTTTGAAAACTAAAGGAAGAATCAAAGGCACCAGAGAGCAAAGAGGTAACAAATGGTAGAAAAAGAACAGGTAATTCCTCATGAGTAATATATTTGCAAGCTAGGACCTGGTGAGAAGAATGGGTATAGTAATTAGTATGATTACTCCAAGGGCGACACAGGTTTTCATAGCCTTCTCCTTCTTGTTATCCATCCTTTCTGAAAAGGACATAAGACTGGTAAATGAAGTTTGGCAGAAAGCTAGCACTTGACCCTTGAGCAGCAATAGAAAAGGGGTAATGCAGCTCCTGCGTGCTTTCTCAAAAATGCTATGCTATTCTGTTGTCCTAAACACACACCACCAAATGCAAAACCACCCATCATCCCCATGTCAACTTTAAACACATTAGGAAGCGCTCAGAGGACCACACCTGTAGGACCCAAAGGTCTGAAGCCTCTCTCCAATCTCCACCTACTAACTAGCTAGACTAAAGCAGCAGAGGACTTCTCTCCCCCCTTGCTGTTCCTCTTTTTTTTTTTTTTAAATAAAAAAAAGTAATGAAAGACTAAGGCAGAAATAACTGAACTCCTCTGCAGCAAGCCAGCCTCAACTAAATTTTAGGTAAGACATACCTAGAGGGTCCTTTTGCATTAACAAAAAAGCCCCAAAACTTATTTTCTCACATTTCATGCACACTTCCACAGCTATACTTTGTGTTGTGAGAAGGCTGTCAAGGACATTGTATCTGATGTGAGGCATAGCTCTCAGCACGGAGATTTCCAGGTGTTGTCTCAATAGATTGATCAAGTAACCTTGCTGCTCACAGTGTGCTGCCCTTAGATTCAGGCAATAACGGGGGGGAGGAGGAGATTGCAGGTGTCTTGCTTTCATGCTAGGTGGGAATGCAGTGTACTCAGAAAGTAAAAGTTCAGCCAGTTCCAAATCACTTCAGTGATTTTTAAATCCAGGATCTTTTAATCTTGTCATATTTAAATAGAACATTTCAAATCACACAAATTCATAATCTATTAACTATATACTGGAGATGTTAAAAACTGCTACAATTACAAGATGAGCAAGAGTCACTTGAAGATTTCATTTCAAAAAGGATTTAAAAAATTAAGGGACTTGCAAAATTTTCCTTAATATAAAACAGACTTTACTGCGTTAGTTGTCATGACTATGATTTGGAAGTGGTCTGCAGATACTAGCACAAAGAAATAATTTATTCTTTTAAGCATGAAAAATCATCTAAACCAGATGTAACTACACTTTAATCATCACATAAAGCAATACCCTTTTAAGAAACAAAAGACAACTTTTCTCTACTGGATCCCTTAACCATGTCAAACATTTTAAAACTGTGTTAAGATATTTTTTTTAAACAGTCTCTTTTACCCCTCCACATTTTGAAGAGTTACAAGCAAAAAACAAACAAACAAAAACCCTCCACAACTTCAACTTCTGACAGTTATCTCTTTTTCTCCATTTACCATTACACAAGAAGTTAAAACTAATTGCATGTAACCAGAGAAACACACCACGTTTTATCAACACTGATCACTTACCTGAATTTAGGATTTTCCACTGTAACTACACCAACTTCTATTTCTGAAGGTTTGAAATCAATGGACAGTACAGTAGACAGGCATGTTATTGCTGTCTGAAAGATGACAAAAAAACCCTATCATTCAACAGAAAGCACTAAGGCTTTTTTTTTTCTTAAATAAACATAGCATTAACAACTACCCTTCCTTCTAGTTTTAAGGTATTTCCTTCCACCTCAAAACCTCAGCTGAAAAGTTTCAAATAGTTTCCCCTTGTTACAGAATACAGTCCCTCTCCGGTCCTCTCCCTAAAAAGCCCAATCTACAAAAACCAAAGGGTCATGTCATTTTGGTAGCAGAAAAAAAAACACAACAAAACCAAAACCTTTTATCATGCAAAGATTAAAACCCCAGGTCCCAAGGAGAGAACATGCTTCATTAGTGGCAAACAAGACGGACATCACCATTACAGTCCAAGATTACTCAAAGCATGTCACTTGCACAGCTCCCATTTTGGCTTTTCTTCTGGTGATTATGTTGGCTGTTTTTAAAAGCTGCATTTCATCATGGCTTAACTTATTTTTTTTTTTCCACCCTAATCATCACCTGTTTTAAAACGTGTTCTTTGCAACCTCACTCATACTTAACGCTGCAGTAGGGTCATAATAATGCTAAAGATGTGTTCCTAAAATGATGATTGAGCACAAAAAGAAGTTCCATAAAACAGCTATGTAGCCAGATACTTATCAAATCAGTTATTCTGACGTGCTGGCATTTAACTCTGATCAGTAATGTGCTAGGAAGTGTAGAACACCAGACGAGACTTTTCTAAAGTTTATTTTCAATATGTCGATAACACATTGATTCTGCAATAATGCTATAAGACTACATAGATGTCTTATCAGAAGACTGCCAAGTTATTAAAAAAAAAACACAACAAAAAAACACAACAAAAAAACCCCCCAAAACTCTCATCCATGGAGCATTACCTCTAATGCACCACAAGCTTTTACAAAAACAGGCAGAGCGTGTGTGTGTGTCTGTGCACGCGCGCGCGCGTGTGAAGAATATTACAAAAACGTGATTCTTGCTTTTGATTAACAGACTTGCTTCTCCCTGTCACTGCCGACTTTTAGAGTAACAGTATCTGATCTACATTCACAATCTCAGCATTTTAACAAAGACAACAAAAAGGTATGGAAGCGCATCCAGGATTAGACTGGCAGATTAATTACCAGTTAAGTATTTGCACCATATCATGGAAGTTTTATGAATTAAAAACAAGAATATGAAAAGACTGTTTCATCTACCTCCAACTGCTCAACTAAGAGACATGCGCAGTATAATCACACAGTGATAGAAAAATACATTTAGTGTGAAAATTATTTAGCCAGGATAAAAAAGGGTCTCCACGAGAATTTCGAATACATTCCATATCAGTATGCTATGATTATTCAACCCTCTCAGGATCTCATCTTTAAAGGAATCACATATTAAGGAAATCAGTACTTATTAAGATACACATATAAAACTTATTAATTTATGCTGAAGAACTTTCTGTTTAAATGGTACTTTCACAGTAATGTGGACTTCTGAAGTAATTTAGCTGAAGGTCTGAATCTGCATAGCATCCACATGGACCTTAATACAACACTCTGTTTAATCTTACAGGGGGGTCAATTGCTTAGGTTATTATTCCTCATTTCAACTACTGATCTTGTGATGCAGGAAACACAACATCATGAGAGAAGAACAAAGCCTGGCAGGAGAAACAGGTGGGCCATGGAAGAGGACCGTTTAGACAGATCTCTACAGCATAAGCAGAAAAGTAAGGATGATTACAAAATAAGTTCATTGACCTATTTTATAAATAGGATACATTTTTATAATGGGCCCTGAACAACAGTTTTCACAGTAGACATAACAACTGGTGTTATATTTACTAAACTGACAGATAAACACTACCCCGTCCTGTTTGAAATGCTTTTTAACATGAAGATTGTTTTAAGTGCCACTAAAAGAAAATTGTACTGGCATCCCCAGAATCAAGCGCTGTAGTAACCAACCACCAGGTACAGTGGGAGTGCTACAATTACAGATTCTGCTTCAGCTACTGTAAAGCAGAAAAAGCAGATTAGATGACTATTTAAACACTTGCAAAATAAAACCATTTTCTGGTTGGAATAGCTATACTTGCTCTGGCAGCAATACAGAACTGTAAGAAAACAGGAAATGCCTCACTGCGTTCCTCTGTATCACAAGCCTACATACACCATATTCATTAAAAATACTTTAACAAATCTTTATTTCCCTCTGCTGGCCTACCTCTACTGTTTGTTCGTATGTCCAATCAAATTTCTTCTTTACTTTCTTTTCAAGAAAACTGGTTGACTCTGTCTGTTTAACTCCTGCAGCTGTGGCCTTGAATCCACAATAGTAACCTGCTGGATCACACTTGTATACCTGAGGGCCGTGTTCTTCATCAATACCAATCAAAATCATACCTTGAAGAGAAAATTTGTTAATTTATTTCTTTCCCCAATTTTAGCAATTTCATTCAACTAAAGAATAGAATAGATACTCCTCTCCCGCAAAACACATGCATGCACAGCAGTACATTTTTGGGAACCAGTCCAATACCTAGAGCTGTGATTTCCTCTTTATCTCTAATTTGCCATTTCTTACCAGCATCTCGTTACCAGGTGCACAACTCAGTTTAGGGTGAACTAGATTTCTGTCATTCGCAAAGGCGGCTACTCATGAAACACAGAAACATTTTTGCCATGCTCAGTGTGTAGAGAACCACAAAGTCAGGAAATACAAAAGTTGAATCCCGATACAAAGTTAACCCAGCCACCGTTCACTTCCTGTGTATTGTACCACACTTTAGAAGTGTAAACAATAGTTCTACCAACATGTGCCTTTTACCAGAAAGCAACTCTACAAACATGTTGAAACTAATGGAAATATTAAAAGATCAACTTTAGATTTCTCAACTGTAATCCTGAAAAGCACGGCATTACAGCCCCCTTCCTCTTTTCTTTAAAGGAAAAAATAATCTGAAATGAAATGTGGGAATATCAGAACATAAAACTGAGACTTTGAAGACAATTTGACAAAACGTTTTCAAGTTGGACAGACTACAAGTAACACAAACTGGTCACATCACTGAAATGCATCTGTGTTCACCCACATTTCTACATTTACAGTTTTAGTGTCTCAATATGCATATTAAAAATAACTCGAAAGCAACACTTGCAAAAAAAAAAAAAACCAAACCAACAAAACAGAACAAGGTCAAGGTTTTAAACGCTTCTCTCTTTACGCTTGCGTAACTTTTAACTAGTAATTACAGCTGATAAGCTTCTGAGCAGCTATTACTACAACAGAAAAAAAAATTTCCCATCATCTTTTCAAAAAAAGGTTAAGGAAAGTTAAGAAAAATACATTTTTATTCATGTATTTAAAAAAAAATAAAAATCATTTTCCAGTAGTATCAAGACATGGGAAATGCCAAGGGAAGAAAGAAACAATCATTCCTGAACATTACAAGCATACAAGCACAGGAAAATTGCCCCATCATGGAAACTGTGGTGCAACCCTGAATGTTACTTCTTTAGTAAGAAGTGCTAGTGCCTACTATGATTACGAGAAGTGATTCATCAATTCTGAAACTATTCTCCTTAAAAGAAAAAAAAAACAACCAAAAAACAAGCAAACAAAAGAAACCCAGACAGAATAGTTAATGAAAAAGTAATGAGGAAACATTAAGTCTTTTATCTCAGTTCCCGGACAGCCTAACAGTATGGTTAAAACTTCCTCACAGCCAAATGTAAGAGAAAAAACAAGTCAGAACCAACCTCAGAACACAGAGATGACCAGGAATATCTACAAAAAACAACTTTACACACATCTCTTTTTACTTAAGCTGCATTTGCTGTTATAAAACAAGACTGGTGTAGAAATGTTTGCAAGTGAAATATTTTTAAGCACTTCTCTACATTATATATATCATGGTTAAGTTAAGAGCAAAACTTATGTATATTTTTGTCCCATATATACTACTTAGATAAAAAAGCCACAAAATCTGCACAAGCACAATTGCACTCTCCACATATCTGTTTTAACAGTGATGTTTACCCAGACACAGACGCTGGTAAAAAGAGCATCTCCCATTCACGGACATCACTGTGCAGTGCAAACAGACTAGGCCCCAAAAACTAAGGTATCCCACATTTGAAAGAGGCTAAATCATTTACTCCACTTCAAATGCTGAGTCAATGGTAAAATCATGGCTCCAATTCAAGACTTCCAACACTGTTCTCTCATATTGCTGTTCATCCCTCTTACTCCTTCAGTTACACCCGTATCTCGCACAATTTGAAAATGGGTGACAATTTCTTATACTTGAAGTTGCAAGCTTAGACAAGAAACAGAGAAGATTAATTTCATATGCTATACTTACAGCAACCAAGAGGCCTCATTTCAGCATTTTGCGTGTAGACCTGAGAAATATCTGCAATCCTTTTACACAGCATATCCACAGGGATGTCATAGCCATACTTGTACTTCCAGTTAGCAGCCTCATAGCGGGCTCTCTGCACCTGGGATCTGCTGTCAGCTAGACAGAAACAACTAATATTAATTTCACTGAACATGTACCACGTTTATTCCTGGCATTGCTTGAGAATGCAAATCCCAAGCCCAACTTTAAGTTGTCTTTACATATACACATCAGAACCAGACAAGTTCTCCAAAAACAGACTGAGTGGAACAAATCTCCTAGAGCACTTACTTATGTGATGCAAAGCTGGTGAACTACATAAATCTGTCACACTTCAGATAGATACTTAAAAAGATGGTGAATTAAATACCTGTCATTCCTGTCATCACACAGCCAATATTTTCCGTAATTCTGAATAAATGAGTCACTGTGTTGGAATCCAGTAACTTGTCCTGAAGAGGAAACAGAAATAATCTAATAGGAAACACTGTCCTTCAAGTACAAAAAAAAAAAAGTAGACTCTGGATGCTCTGGTATCTACAGAAGAGCCCAAAAGAATCAACTAACAGCTAAAAATTGTCTTTCAGGCTCTCCACTATTTACTGCTATAGGCATGCGAAGGAAGAAATAGGAGAACAGGGAAGATAAAAAAATGCAGTATCTGGAAAAGGATGACAGCTAGAGCATGACCAACATCGAAGTCCTTTTCCCTCTGACGAAACACTGAGAACACACATACAAAAACTTGCACTCTTATTGCATGCTGCCCTTCAAACACAAGGGTTTTCCCGCTTTGTCAACAACACCTGACCACTGTGCTGAAACGCTCATGAAAATCTGTTCTGCATGCTATTGGTCTAACATTTTCTGACTAGGAATTAAACAAATCACAAAACTGATTATGGACAACTCAGTCCTTACAAGCCAGAGTAACGTGTGCATGCCAAAGCACAGCAGGACCAACTTCATGTTTTAGCTTCAACAACTACAGAGAGAACCAATATTACAGTACTTGGTGAGGAAATGTACAATTGAGCACTAAACGGAGCTAGAACTTGTAATAAGCAGAACGATAATAAGATATTACATTCAAACAGCAATATGTCAATGCCAATAAATATATTATCAATGTTGCAGAACCTCACCCACACCTTTTTTCTCATCTCCTTCCAGCCTCCCCCTCAAAAACAGACTACTTACAGGTACTTTCTTCTGTGTTACAATTACTGCAGAATCTTTCCCACGAACAGCTACAGACGTAAGTCCGCCTTGGTTTATGGCCTTAAAAGCATATTCTAGAAAAATACGTAAGTTAATAAAAAACAATGTTAGAGATATTAGTACAAATAACTCTGACACACTTCCCCCCAACACAGAAATCTCACCAAGTTCTGGCCTTTTCAATACTTTAATATTTGTGTGATACTTTGTGTCTTCAAGGTCTTCAGTACAATGCACACAAGAACTTTCTGAGGGGAATTAAGTCATTGACTCTCTTCACAAAACAACTACCACTGCTTCCTTCAAATATTTCTAATAATTTGCCTTTTTATTCAGTTAGAATGCTTAACAGCAACAGAATTTGTTTTAAAACAAGAAGGCTGTTCTGCACTTGACCAAAACAGTCCAACCTTAACCTACAGTAACTGTAAATCCTTAAATAAGATTTTTTAACATGCAGAAGTTTAGTATTTCAAGCATTGTCATCACTGCAAGGATGTAATTTTCTTTTGTAGATTTTTACTGATACAGATGAAAACTGAATGATGGACCAGGCACAGAAGAAGGGTTTTCACCTTACTGTCATATTCTTCTGACTTGACATTCAAACACCACAAAATGCTTTTATTAACTTTTTAAAATGAAGCCTATGCACATGCCAACTAAACAGCATTATTCAGATAAATGTAACGGATTAAGATTTACTTGATATGATCCATTAAATAAATTTCCCTTGATTAATAGTTTCAAAAGCCTCAAAAACGACAACTTTAAAAATCATTTATCTGGCAATATATGATAAACATTCAGAACTAACTAATATCTGGGTGGGAGAGGGAAGTTTCAGACACTAGCTAAATGTAGATGAATTTTTTGTTAGCTATGTGATTAAGACTGGAATTTAGAACGTGTCTAACCAACAGCATAACAAATTGCTAAAACTGTCTTCTAAAATAACGGAAGCAAGAAGCTCAGCTGTTTTAAAAGCTGCATTCAAATCTATGGAAGAGGCTGCACAACAAGAGAGGAATAATCTGAAGATGAAAACACACATCTTGCAATACCAGGATCTTGATGTTCAATCTGCTGAGTCAGTGTTGTGGAAGGGCTGATTGCCATGGCACTGTATTTATTACTCTCACGCATCAGAGCATTTACTGGTTACCCATAAATGCCATAAAGAATGTTCCCTCTCTCTCTCTGCTAGATGCACAACTTCACTCACCTCTTCACTTACCTTCCCTGGGATGATCAGTGCTAGCCTGCAGCAAAGCACAGAACCCAGTGAGACATGAGCTAGCACTGTCCACAAACTGGTCATGTTTGAAGCCCCAGGCCACCGCTTCTGCAACACTTGTTTATTTATGTGTACAACTATCTGAAGGGAGGGTGTAAAGAAGATGGACAGAACCAGGCCCTTTTCAGTGGTGCCCAGTGACAGGACCAGAGGCAATGGGCACAAACTGAAACACAGGAGGGTCCATCCGAACACCAGGAAACACTTCTTCACTGTGAGGGTGACTGAGCACCGGCACAGGTTGCCCAGAGAGGTTGTGGAGTCTCCCTGCTTGGAGATATTCAAAAGCTGTCTGGACATGGTCCTGGGCAACCTGCACTAGGTGGCCCTGCTTGAGCAGGGGGTTGGACCAGATGACCTCCAGAGGTCCCTTCCAACCTCAACCGTTCTGTGGTTCTATGACATTTAGGTGGGAAGAGGAGTAGGTGCCTTCGCAAACTGTTTTTGCTCACAAGTACGAACAACCAGGCTTGCTGAACTGCAGTCTGTTCTCGCCCTGTTTCTATTTCCATCTGCAATACTCAGTTTTCAAAGAGACAAGCCAAAAAGTATAGGGCCTCTTACAGTATAACAAGTCCAAATACATATATCGCTAGTGGTGTTTAAGTCTGTTTTCTGCTATGCAAGTATTTCAGTAGTACTGCGCACACGTTCTTTCCGAAAAAAGTAATCCCTTGCTGTTCCCCAAAGATGTCCGAACAATCAGAAATTTGAACATAATCATTTTCTTCACCTCCCAAAATTCCACTTAGATGAAACATTACTTTTGAAGACTGGAACTAACAGGTGGCAAGACAACACTGATACTCTGAAGGATTTTAAGCACAGCAACAAGAAATATATATATGAAATAACAGTTAGTTTTCTAATATGAGATTACTTCAAAGGCACAAGAGCTTTCTGAGTTTTGGAAGCAGAAGACAGATCTAAGGCAAAGCACAGGCATTTCAGTCCAATATTGCTATGCTTGAAATCTCTGTTCAGTGTTTCCACAAAACCTTCCAGGAAAACCTCAAGTCTTAAGGCAGCCTTAAAGCGACACGTGTCCTTGCCCATCCTTGACAGCACCTAGTTAATCTGCATCCAGCACATGGACAAGGATGTACGGGATTCAAAAAGAATTAAAGAAAGAAAGAAAAAAAAGCTAGATTCAGATATCTGACCATAAGCAAACATAAGCTTTCTGCCCATGCTCTGGCTAGATGCTGGCCAACAAAGACACTAGTGTGGCACCACACCTGAGTTATCAGCCTGGCTGCAGGCAGAGTGAGCTCATACTTGCTTGAAGTTAACTATGCACACCTACATAGTTTTCTTTCCATAGCATATAGGTACTCAAAATATCTTCAAAACAGCCTCAGGCTGTGTGCAGAGGCTCTCAAATACACATGCAGACACTTGCTTCTAAGACACGGGTAAAAGATATGGAGGTACTGCACATTTCTCACACATTAACCTAATGGCTGAATATACCCAGGAGGCAGAAAAAGGCTCAGTTTACTCTTTGCTACAGGATGCAGAAACCATTCCCAACAAGTAGTACTACAACAGAGAAAGATCCAGAAAGGTGATGCAGACCAATCAGCCTGTTTCAACGAAAGGTCAGAGCCCAAGACTCTTCCATCACAGAGCCACTGACACCCTGTGTGAGGAAGTGCTGTCCCTACCATCCACATGTACGAGTCTTACTACGCAAGTTGTGCACAAGCCTTATACACGCTCCAGGTATAAGACAGCACCTGTATGTAGGTATCTAGTACAGGTAACTTTCTACCCGTGTATAGACACCTACACACAGGCACTTTCGTAGTTGCTCCTTGGAGAAAGGACTGCTCAAGACTGGTCTGCCTGCCCATGAAGCCTATTCCACACAGCCTTCTTCCTGAGAAAAAAATCAAGGGCAGACAGAAAAGAAACAACTGGCTACCACGGACAACTCATCCAGTGTGGTCCCAGCAACCTCCTTTCCTGGAGGACAGATGGATGTATGGACATGCCATGCAATGCATACGCAGTGAAGCCACTGCAGCTGGGGAAGAGCCACTAAGCTCCAGTGGAAGATGGCATCAGGATGATGCTGCCAAAACAATTCATCTGGCCCTGTTGTGAGGATCCCTCAGGAGCACTCTCAATGAACTGTCCTGCCAGACGGCGAGCTGACTATGCTGTTATAGAGTATTCTGCAGAAAGGGCACCATGAGGCTCTTCCGCAGAATCTGGTGCACCGCAGAAATAAAACAAAAGATTCAGTGGCCTACAGAATAAGATGAAGCTAGGCTGCAGCTGAATTGCAGAATGTTTTAGTAGGGCCTGTTGTGACAGGACAATGGGTAATGGCTTTAAACTAAAAAAGGGTAGACTCAGCCTAGATATAACGAAGAAATTTTTTACAGCGAGGGTGGTGAAACACCAGAACAGGTTGCCCAGAGAGGTGGTAGATGCCCCATCCCTGGAAACATTCAAGGTCAGGTTGGATGGGGCTCTGAGCACCCTGACCTAGTTGTAGATGTCCCTGCTCATTGCAGAGGGGTTGGACTAGATGATCTGTAACAGTCCCTTCTAACCCAAACCACTCTATGACTCTAAGCCTAGCAATAAAAGATGGTTGCTGCTGCCTCACACACCATGATATACAGAAGACATGGCATTCAGGTATAAAGAGAGAGAGCATGGGTTACCTCCAAAAACTGACTTTGTTACTCTGGCATGCAGTGTCTGAGGCAGTTCAAGTGCCATTTCAAACAGCCATTGTAGTTCTCAGATTTCAAAGCACAACGCTCATAAGTTCGGCACGATAAACTGAAAGAAACGCTTTAGGGGGAATAAACAGCTTCTGGATAACTGTTAGTCTTCACGCATCGAAGTCAAACACCGTGAAACCACGGGAGGCCCCTCCCGTGGCAGGGGACACTCGGGAGGGCCTACCCTGGCTCTAAGCCTTCCTCATCTCACGCGAGGATCCCCTTCCCAGGCCCCCGCGCCGGCGGGGCCGGGACCGCAGGGCTCCAGGCTTCTCCCCGCACACCGCGGGACCAGGGAGGGCGGGAACCGAGACTCGCCGGCCACGGGAGGCGCCACGTTTCCCCCCTCCCAAAGGCAGCCAGGCTCGGCGGAGGTCTTCCGAGCCGGCTGCGGCCCCGCTCGGCAGGAGGCGGCGCGGGCAGGCCGGGCCCGTGACAGGGCAATTCAGCGGCAGCAATCCCGGGGCCGGACACCCACCGACTTGGTAGAGGCGGCCCTCGGGCGAGAAGATGGTGATGTGGCGGTCGAAGCCGG